CGTATAGAAGGGGAAGTGCGGAAACGCAGGAATCATTAATTTCCTTTTCTAGGTATTCAACGATCTGGGGCCCTCCAAGGCTTCCTGGGTTCTTTTGTGGGAGGTGAGGGGGGTGGTCTGAATTGTGGTCTGTTGTGCAAGAGTAGATCGGGCGCCAAACTTGGACAACCAAAATTATGGGATTTCTATGTTTTTCCAATTCCTCGGCGCTGTTCGGCGCTGTCTTTTGTTTGTGCCTCGCGGGTTTTGTTACCCGGGCCCCTCAGGGGTGTGGGATCTTCCGGACCCCCTGGGTTCTGGAGGCCTCCTGGAGGCATGGAGAGCCGTCGGAAGGGCGTCTCGGGCTGCGCGGGAACGTGTCAGGCCGTTCTTTACGTTCTGGGGGCTCCTTGGCGTCGTCTTGGGCTGTCCTTGGGCGTCTTGGGGGCACCCCGGGAACCTGGGAGACGCGGTATCGGCCAGATGTCAGGGGATGTGTGAGATCTCAGAGTAGGAGTCCACTTAAAAAAAAAAAAACAATTCTGGGAATTCCCTTAATTTTCAAATCCTCGATCTTCGAGGGTTGGAAGAGGGAAAACGTGAGAAGGCGAAAAACATTAGAAAAAACAATGGGAAATCGACGATTTCACCCTCTTTGGGTTCTCTCGGGGCGTCTCTCGGAATTCTCATGCAATGTCTTGGAAGCGTCTGAAGGCCTCCCGGAAGTCTGGAGAGCCGTCAGCAGACTGTTTTGGACTGCTTGAGAGCATCTTCGGCTGTTCTTTTGCATTGTGAGGGGCTCTTGGGGCTGTCTTGGGGCGTCCTGGAGCGTTTTCGGAGCTCCCAGGGAGGCTGGGGGGCGCGGTACTGGGCGCCTCTTCGGCAATTTTGGGGGTGTCTTGGCCCGTCTCGGACCCCTCCTGGGGATCTTTTGGGCGGTCTTGGGGTGGTCTTGGACCGTTGGAAGCTCGAAAACGCGAGGTCACAAAACACAGAAAAACAATCAAAATCTACGACTTTGGCCTCTTCGGGCTTTACCGGGACGCCTCTCGGACCTCGATGGGGGTCTTATGGAGGCCTCCTGGGAGCGTGGAGAGCCGTCCACAGGGTGTTTTGGACTGCTTGGGAGCGTCTTGGGCCGTTCTTTACGTTCTGGGAGCTTCTTGGGTTTGTCATGGGCTGTCCTTCGGCGCCTTGGGGTCTCCCCAAGAAGCCCGGAAGCGCGGCACCGGCCAGATGTCAGGGGATGTGTAAGACCCCCGAGTAGGAGTTCCACCTTGAAAAAAAGAAATCTTGGAATTCCTTTTTTTGGTTCAAAATCCTCGATGTTTGAGGGTTGGAAGCGGGCAAACGTGAGAAGGCGAAAAACATTGGAAACACCATTGGAAATCAACGATTTTACCCTCTTTGGGCTCTCTCGGGACGGCTCTCGCAGCTCTCATTGGCTGTTCTTGGATTTGGACGCCCGAAATGGGCACGGAAAGAAAGGGTACAATGCCCAACAACAAATGTTGTCTCAAACCAACAGCGACCGCTGTTGGGCAGGCAGCCCTCTGTCTCGAATGGACACAGGCCGCGGCGGCGTGGACAGCGAGTCCTGTTCAAAATGAACAGGAACTGCTGTTGGGCATTGTAACCATTCTTTCCGTGCCCATTTCGTTCGTGCAGATTGGAGCATAGTCGGGGTCTTTTTGGGGCCTCTCAAGGATCGGGTGTGTGTTGGGGGCCTCTGGGTGGTCCCGAAGGCCTTTCAGAGGTCTCTGGAAGCCTCCTGCTCCCGCTCTTGGGCCCATCTTGGGCCTGTTCTGGGGTGGTCTGGGGCTGTCCTGGGCGCCTCTTCAGCGGTCTTGGAGCCTTCTTGGCCTGTCTTGGGGCCGTCCTGAGGGTCTCGGTCTCTTCGGTGGTCTTGGGGCGGTTTTGGGAGCCTCAAAGGCGCTCTTGGACCGTTGGAAGCTCGAAAAAGCGAGAAGCCAAAAACATTTAAACAAACATGAAAATCGACGATGTTGCCCTCTTCGGGCCGTCCTGGGACGCCTCTCGGACATTCGTCTCTTGAAGGCTACCTCGGAGCCTCGAGAGCCGTCGGAAGGCTGACTTGGGCTGCTTGGGAGCGTCTTGGGCCATCCTTTCGCATTCTGGGGGCTCCTGGGAGGCGTCTTGGGCCCTCCTGGGTGAAGGTATTCCTCAGGATTTGTCATGGGAATCCTGAGAGACCTGGAAGGATCAACAACAACTCTCAAGCAAAACGAAGACTCTTCAAGATCCCGGACACTGAAAACACCTGAGAAATCCTGGAGAAACCTGCGGAATCCTGAGGAACCCGGAGGAATCCGGAAGGACCCTGATGAATCCAAAAAATCACCAAAAATCCCGCAAGACCCTGCGGAACCCAAAAGAACCGTGAGGAATCCCGCAGAACCCTAAGGAATCTGAAAGAATCCGAGTGGCCCCTGAAGAATCCAGAAACGAAGCCGGAGGATCCCTGCGGCCTGAGATATCCGAAGGGACCCTGAAAATTCCCAACCAGTCTTTGGGCATCGAAAGGAAAACTGGCTGACCCTGAGGAACTGTGAGGATCCTTGAAGGCCCTAGAAGAATCTTGAAGAACCCTTAGAAACCCTAAGAGAAATTAAAGAATCCTGGAAAGCCCTGAGGGATCCAGAATATTCTTAAGGAATTTGGCTAAAATTCCAAGGAATCCGAAGGAGCCCCGAAGCCCGAAAGACCCAACGCAATCTGAAGACTCCGTTCACGCCAGCAGGCAGGCCCCCTGGTGGGGATGCTGGGGTTGGTTCTAGTTGCTGGGGAAGGGCGGGGGAGGGGCTCTGGGGCACACGGTCCTGTGTCAGCCAACGACAACACACACGATGGTCAAGCTGGATACGCCAACCACTTCACACTCACAACAAACTACTACAGCTACGCTGGCCACGTCGCTTCATTCTCCCTTTAACTGATGCTCGTTTCCGTGGCGCTTGACCCACACATCTCCGCCTACCTCGGCCCTGGAACTACTGTCTGTCTATCCGCACTGATATCAAGGTCTGTCACAGGCGTGAGTCCGAGCATCGAACCAGAATATGGCTTGTTCCTCCTTGCCGCCTGCCTTCGCCAACCACACTGCTCGTCCTGTTCGTCCCTCCCGGGAATCCTCTCCACGTGCACCCTGTGGGTATCCGTACAGCGTTCTGCGTCTTTCCTCATCAAGCTGCCCTGGCTGTTGCTCTCTCGGACGTCCGTCGGGACTCCCCCGGCAGAGCCGGCCCGTGCACGGGCGCACGAGGCGCCCGGCCAGGCCGCCGCGTTCCGCTCCCTACCTCCAGCTCCACTGCCAAATTTCGCACATCCTCCGCCTCTTCCTCTGCGCATCCACCTCGCCATTATGTTGCTACTGCTGCTCGTCCACCATCCCTCCTGTTTTTTTTCCCGCAGAGCTCGACTCTTTGCTGGGATGGCAAGTTGCCCACTATGCGTCGCACTGCCTGTAGCGCCTCTTTCCAGGGCGTGTGTCGCCCGTAAACCATGATAAACTTCAAAAGCATCACGTGCCACTCATGATTTTGGACGTGGTCTTACCACACTCCCGCGCGGGCGAATTGCCTCAATAATCCTAGCTGTCGATGCGCAAGCGTCTTGCCGAGCCCCTCCACCTCAAGGATAACTTCAGTCGGCAGACATTTCAGCCGAACAAATGCGGCACACTTGTCTCCCCTCGCCTACACTTTGCTTCGCAAGATAATCGGCGACCTCAATCGAAACCCACTTTTGCAAAGGAACATCACCCTCCACATCCGTGGCAGCCTCTACCCTTGCTCGAAAATATCCGACCCTTGCGCCATCTCATTCCCGCTCCATTTTACTTTCGGCGCATGTCAGATCCCATCGGATAACTCTCCAAACACAATTGCACGATTGCCCGCTCAATGCTCGATGATCCGGACGAGTGTCGTCCAAAAATGTTCGAATGCCGTGGCACAACTTTCCGATGCAATGAACCTCGCCGTGAAAGAAGATATTGGGCTAGCCATGCATAGGCCCTTCCAGCGCAAGAGAATGACCTCAACCCCGTGCTCTGTATCAAGATGTGTTTCCGAGACGCAAGCCGCAGCAAAACACTGCGATGCGCGCGTGCCACCATCACATTGTATTGCACAGTTGACGTGGATGAGGTTCAAGGTGCAATCGCTTCCACGAGCTTTGCGCATCCATGGTCGACCTGAGTGAATGGTCTGCGATCTTGCTGCAGCCCCTCCTCCGCCAGAGCACCGGACCTCCGTAGGAACGACAGGGGGCGCATGCCTTTCAGGATCAAAGTCGCCAGGCTGCGCGTCAATATTCCGAACGATGGCTGCAAAGACACGTCTGCGAGCGCGCACGTGCCCATAGCGAGATCCACCAACGGCTTGCGTAGTGAAACGTCCATCGGGACCTTCCCACTGAAAATCATCACAATCCGAACCAATTGCGACGTGGTGACCAGGGATTTCTGCAACGTACGCGTGGCTGTGTTGGACTCGCTCCTCGCAGCGCTGAATGTGCCATCCGATGCACCTGCAGCAGGAGCCAGAAGAGGAAGTCCGTACTTGGCGCACGCGTCGGCTGCGAACGAGCCGAACACTCGCATCCACTCAGCTTGCGATGAACATCCATCCCACCATTTCCGCCAACCCTCGCCTCGCAGATCACAGAACGCATCTTCCCAATGCCCGAGTCGCCGCCAACAGGGAGGAGGCCCAAAGGCAGCGCGAGGCCAGAGCATCGGCTGCGCACCCGCGCAGGGCGCCCTGGACAGGCACCATCTCTTCGAGGCCAGCCCCGCCCTTGCCTCACATCTCAGAGTCGAATGGGATTGAGCAGGGGCTTCACCCGTGGAGTACAGCATTGCACTCATGCCCGCCTCCAACCACCCCTTCCGATTCGTGCGCCTCCTCCTCTGTCTTCCTCTTCTTCCTCCTGCTCGCATACAGCTCCCATGAGATTCAGGCAGGGACGCGCGCTGGACACGCTGCCGCCCAGCCAGCCTTGTTCTGCCTGCACTCCTCTACCAACAGCTGCACATCGTTGCGAAGGCCGTTCACCTCAGGAGGAGCACCAGGAGGGGGATGGGAAGGAAAGTGGAATGAGGAGGCGGGAGAACGAGGGATGGGAAGGGGGTGTGAGGAGGCAGAATCTCCTGGCTGGGTCAGACAAAAGCATTGCTGGACGACTCTCCACAAGACGAAGTCGAAGGATCGCTAGCGGGCACCAACTCAACCTCACAGCACGGCGAGCCTGGAGGAAAAAGAAACGGTCTAGGCGTCGCGTGCCGCCCCCTCCTCCTTCCCCGTCCTCCTCTTCTTCCCCTCCTCGGCCTCGCCCTCCCTGCTGCTGATTCAGCTGCTCATCGCTGCCCTCATCCGCCCTCTTCGAACTTCTCCTCCTCTCCGTCTCCTCCTCGTCCCCAAATCATCCCTCTCCCTCCGCCACGTCCGCTTCATCTTCTTCTCTTTCTTCCTCCTCCTCCTCCTCCTCCTCCTCCTCCTTCACCGCCTACCTCCCCTCGGCAGCGAGCCTGGAGGGAAGCGAGAAAGGGCCGGCCTTCACAGAAGGCTCGCAAGTCGCAAGTCCCCCGGCCTTCTGAGAAGTTCTCTAAGCCGTCCCCGAAGACGCAGAGAACTCCTCAGAAGGCGCGAGGGCTTCTGAGCAGTCCCGCCGCCTTCTGAGCAGGCCTTCTCCTTCTCGCCTCCCCCATCTCTCGCTCGCTGCCGCCCCCTCCCTCCCCGGCCTGCGCCCGCGCGAAGCCACTGCAGGCCCGAGCGGCGCTGCCCCGCGCGCGCGCTTCGCAGCGGCGCAGCTCGGGCGGCGACAGCCCGGCGAGGGCGCGCCCGCCCCGCCTGCCCCGCTGTCCTCGCGCCCCCTCCCCAGGAACAGGAGGACGGGGCTCGCGCCTCGCTCTGAAATCGCCAGGGCCGCGAAGCGCGACAAATTAGCTCCGCACCCTCGTGGTGGCCCCCGTTGCTGCGGGGCCCGGGCCGAGGCGCGACGACGATGCTCTCGCTGGGGCAGGGGACAGGAAGAGGGTCCTGGCGCCGGGGGCGGCTGCTGTGAGGGTGGCTTCCCGGGCGGAGGCCCGCACGCACAGCGGGCGCTGCCTGCGGCGAGGTGGTGGCCACCGGGAGGTCCTTGCGGCTTGCGTCGCCGAGAAGGCCTGCCTGCTGGCGCGGCCCAACCGACACCTAGCAAACCATCCCCTTCTGTGACGTCATCCTCGCCCTCCGAGCTCCCCCTCCAGCCGCATACGTACTACGTCTTGGGGCGAGGCGAGGGGGACGTCACAGAAGGGGAAGGTTTGCTTGGGGTCGGTTAGGCCGCCCCTGACCTCTCTCCCTCCCGCTCCAGGCACAACCTGCCCAGAGCCGGGTGCGCCCCGCCTCTGCTGCGCGACTGGGACACCTCCCGGGCTGGGCCGCGCGCCGCTCGGGCGCCCGCAGGGAGCAGGGGGGAGCAAGGGCGACCCCGCGGCGCTGACCACGCCCCCGAGGGGGGGGCGGATCGCCCAGGATGTGACGGTCGGGGCCTCGGTGTCCCCATCCGCGGAAGGGCCCGCCACCCTGGGCCAGGATCGCCGCCCCAGACATCCAGTGGACCGATTGAAGGCTTCAATCCGCGGGCCCCACATGCGATGGTCCCGGGGTCCGAGGGGAACGCGCCAGGACTGACGGGGCACGGTCCGCCCGAAGTCTGGGTCTGGCGGCAGGTGCTCGTCGACCTGGCACGGTTCAGGCTGCCCCTTGGGGTGGCGCTGCCACCACGAGGCAGCCGCGCCTGCGCCCCGCCTCGCCGGGCGAGGGGCTCGCCGTCCCACCCTGCTCCTCAGCTGTTTCGGACACGATGCATCCTTCATATGGCACGGTCGTGTCGTGACGACGTTGGCGCTGGTATCTGACACCATGCAGATCTCCAGCTTTAGTGATGGCTGCTTCCCGAGAGCGCGGAGTCTTCGATGTCGGCTGATGCTGGGCCACTGGATGCATTCAGCCTGAAGAGCTTGCGCTGGGGTCGCCGCCGCGACGACACGACAAGAACCTGTGGCCCTCGCCCTTCCCCTCCTGCGATTTCCTCTCTCCGACTCCTCCCTCTCGACGACACGACAAGAACCTGGCGTACTCCACCATAGTGGTCCTAGCCCTTCCCTTGCTCCAATTCTCTCCCCCCCTCAATTCTCCCTCCTGCCCCTTCTCGGTCGCCCTCGCCACCCGTCGACTCATCCTCGCCTCCGTCGCTCTCTCCCACTCCTCAGTCGCCCACGCCTTTCGCCTCCTCCTCCTCCTCCTCCTCCTTCTCCTCCTCCTCCTCCTCCTCCTCATCCCTCCTGCTCCTCTCGGGCCGAGCGAAAGAGGGGGATAGCAAAGGGGGGGTTAGAATCAGCTCACGTAGCTGGTTTTCTCGGCGCCTCCCGGCGCCGGGAGGCGGGTATCTATCGAGGAATGGGCCCCTCGGTGGGGCCGAAACCAGCTGCATGCAGCAGATTTCGCAACCCCTACTTTCCCAATCCCCCCCTTTCGTCTGGCCCGATCCTCCTTCTCAACTGCCCTCGCTATTCCTACCGCCATCCACCTCTCCTTCCTCCACAATTACTCAATATGTTTACGACTCTCCATCTTCCCCTGATGACGGCTTGAAAGTGCTCGACCCCCCCCCGCGTACTGTTTTTTACACACAGGTTTCCCCGGAGTTGGGTTTTCGCTTGCATTGTTTTTCAAAATGCTGCTCTCGCTGAGGCGCCGGCTTCATTTTCGGGCCCCGCTCGTTCCGAATCGTGCTCCCGCTGCAGCGCTGGCCTCATTTTCGTGCTTCCGCTCGTTCCGAATCGTGCTCCCGCTGCAGCGCTGGCCTCATTTCCGCGCTTACGCTCGTTTCGACTCGTGCTCCCGCTGCAGCGCTGGCGTCGTTTCCCGTGCCATGCCACGGCATGCAATGCAATGCTAGGTTGATACTACGCTTTGCGGTGCTCTTGTACGCCGTGCCATGCCGTGCTCTACAATGCATCGCGTACCCTTTCGGGATCATTGCCCTGCTCGACATCCGACTGTGCAAGTAGAGAGGGGATCTACGCCATGGTAAGGGATGGGAGGGAGGGGTAGGGTGTCAGACATGACGCGAGCGCACCTAGCTTGTCCTCCTCCTCATCCTCCTCCTCCTCCTCCTCCTCCTCCTCCTCCTCCTCCCCTCCTCCTCCTCCTCGTCCTCCTCCTCCTCCTCCTCCTCCTCCTCCTCCGCCCTGTTCCTCCTCGTCCTCCTCCTCCTCCCTGTTCCTTCTCCTCCGTCTCCCCGCCTCTCCTCCGCGCACCGCACCTCGACTATACGATCTCCAGGCTTCACTGCCTGCTCAGGGTGATTGTCGTTCCTGAGTCCCACACGCGGGCACGGAAAGAGAGTACGAAGAGGAGGATGTGAACGAATGCCACGGGGGAGACGACGAGGTAGACATCTCCGACGTCGAAGGAAGGGCACAGCAACGGGGAGAAAAGGGCGGATGGTTCGAGCCTTGAGCTGGCGTGAGGGTGCGATGGAAGACTGTGTGCGTGTCAGGAATCCTTCGGAGCCAGGGCCAAGCTGGTAGTGCTAGGTCAGGCCTGTCCCCCTGCACGGAGATTTTGAAAAATAAAACATACTCCAAACATGCTCAAACATAGTCAAACAATCGTCCCGCAACTATTTGACTATGTCCCCCTTATTCTAAGATGGGGTTATTGTTATTACTTGGACGCCTCCTCCTCCTCCTTCCTCTTCTCGTCCCCTCCTCTTCTCGTCTCCTCGTGCGAGACTTACTCGTGTCCAGACTTACTCACACACATACTTACTCATACTGAGACCTACTCGTCCTCAGACTTACTCATACCCAGACGTACACGTACACAAACTTACTCATACACAGACTTACTCATATTCAGGCGGGTCTCAGGTGGGGCGCTCGTTTCAGCACCCCATAAGGGGAGCCGCCAGGGGTGGTTGCACGGGCCAGAGCAGATTTTGAGGATGTCTCAGGCGAGGCGCTGGTTTCAGCACCCCTAACGGGAGCCGCCAGGGGTGGTTGCACAGGCCCGTTCGCGGCCAGTTCGTGGATGTCTCAAGCGGTTTGTTCGTTCTCATGGCCAACATCCTTGGCTTTCAGAGCAGATTTTGAGGATGTCTCCGGCGGGGCGCGGGTTTCAACACCCCGAAGGGGAGCCGCCAGGGGTGGTTGCATAGGCCCGTTCGCGGCCAGTTTGTGGGGATGTCTCAAGCGGTTTGTTCGTTTTCATGCCCAAGATCCTTGGCTTTCAAAGCAGATTTTGAGGATGTCTCCTGCGGGGCGCTGGTTTCAGCACCCCTAAAGAGAGCCGCCAGGGGTGGTTGCACGGGCCCGTTCGCGGCCAGTTTGTGGGGATGTCTCAAGCGGTTTGTTCGTTTTCATGCCCAACATCCTTTGTTTTCAGAGCAGATTTTGAGGATGTCTCAGGCGTGGCGCTGGTTCCAGCACCCCTAAGGGGAGCCGCCAGGGGTGGTTGCACGGACCCGTTCGCGGCCAGCTTGTGGGGATGTCTCAAGCGGCTTGCTGGTATGCCCAACATCCTTGGCTTCAGAACAGATTTTGAGGATGTCTCAGGCGGGGCGCTGGTTTCAGCACCCCTAACGGGAGCCGCCAGGGGTGGTTGCACAGGCCCGTTCGCGGCCAGTTTGTGGGGATGTCTCAAGCGGTTCGTTCGTTTTCATGCCCAACATCCTTGGCTTCCAGAGCAGATTTTGGGGATGTCTCAGGCGAGGCGCTGGTTTCAGCACCCCGAAGGGGAGCGGCCAGGGGTGGTTGCACAGGCCCGTTCGCGGCCAGTTTGTGGGGATGTCTCAAGTGGTTTGCTCGTTTTCATGCCCAACATCCTTGGTTTTCAAAGCACATTTTGAATTAAAGCTCACTCTGACTCATACTCACGCACTCGCATTAGGATTCGTTCGTCTTCGTCGGCCGTGTCGCCCACGTGGACGCGCTATTATAATCAAGCGCTCATGAACAGACGCTCACTATGGCATGACAGAACACATGAGATGCACATGTGGGGAGCTCCACGCAACTAGTAATTGAATATTCCTCCTGTAGAGGGACAGGCCCGACTTAATGGTAATGTTGAAAAGGTCCCGATGGGGCCCTCGGGAGTCTTCCGGAGGGCACGCAGCGCCAGTGAAAACCTCCATCCGGCCGCCATGTGATTCCGCACGCGTGCCCCACGATGGCCCCTTGGCAGGCTTTTCAAGACTCCCGGGCAGGTCGGCTGCCCGAAGGCCGCTTTGCCTCACGAGAACCATGCAGCGACATTCGTGAGGACTCGCTAGCTCTCTTTGTCGTGGCCCCTGGCAGGCCTTCCAACAACCCCCGGGCACTTCGGATGCCCGAAGGCCGCTTGGCCTCTTGAGAACCAAGCAGCGGCTGTCGTCAGAACTCGCGAGCCTGTCCTTGTCGTCAGAATTGATTCCGAACCGATGTCGTTGGTCATTCGCAAGCGGCTCCAGAATCACAAGGCAAATCGACGGCGTGGCTGATGATGCACATAATGTACCGCGCTCGCCAAACAATTTCGGCACACTTCCAGCCCACAAAGCGAAGCGAAATACATGGTCCGAATTCTCAACAGTAAGCACATACAACCACAGAGAAACCCACGGACACACAAGCGCACAGTCCGTCCAAGTGTTCACAACCTCGCTGGCCGCAACATCAAGTCCTGGACAGTCTAGGCTGACAAACCCAACGTTCAGGGCCAGCGAGACCTGCCGACCAATCAGAGGAAGCAGGGCGAGGGAGGGAGGGAATAGCGATGGGGGGGATGGGAAGGATGGGCGCGCACGACCTGAAGGCGAACGGTCACGCCGTTTCGCCTCGCTGCCGTGCACAGGCACGGCCCCAGGCGACGAAGAGGCCCGACGCCACGTGAGTGCAAACACCTACACCCCGCAACGCGGGGTGCTGGACACCCGCGCTCACCCCCAAGCCCTCGGGCCAGGCGGCACCCCAGGGACGGGCCCCGCGGAGACCACCAGGGGCACCACACCGCCAGGATCCGAGACGAATCCAGCAGCCCGACCAGGCTCGGCCCCACGGGGGCCCCTTGGGTCGGACGCGCGCTCGCCCGCGGCACCGCTCAGCCCCGCAGCGGCGCAGCCACGGCGGTAGGCCGCGAGGAGCGACGCGACCTGGCCACGCACCGCCTCGTCAGTCGCCGCTGCGGCGACCTCCACCTCCACCTCGCCCCCGCCTGCAGGTCGGCGAAACCGCGGCAGGGGCCCCTGGTGGCGCCGCACTGGCGGCTCATCCGCCCTTCCAGGAGTCGCCGCGTCCAGCCCGCTTGTCACCGAGGCCAGGCCAGGGGGAGTATGACGTCGAGCCGACCTCGCCGAAGGGCCCCCCGGCACCTCATAAGTTGAACCAATCGGTCCACGCCCGCCGATCCCGACGCACATGTCGAGGTGGGAGGCCCGCGCGCCGCTGAGCCGCTCCTCGCCCCCGCCTGCAGGTCGCTGAGACCGCGGCAGGGCCCACTGGTGGCGGCGCTCTGGCGGCCCTTCGACCCCATCTGGGATCCGCCGCGTCCAGCCTGCTGTCCACCGAGGCCAGACCAAAGGAAGGATGTCGTCGAGCCGAACACGCTGACTGGCTCCTCGGCACCCCCGAAGTCGAACCGTGAGCTGCGATGGCACCGCCTCAAGGTGCACTCGCCGAGACAGGCCTGCCCCGCGCGCTGTTTACCCAGTGGTTCACCAGGGGGCGGGCTCCAGCAAAAACCATGGCGACTGAGCTCAGCCCCGCGCGCTGTTTACCTCGCGGGTGCCCCTGGGGGCTGGGACTTGCGTTCTAACCGCCGCCAGAGTCAGCAGCACCTGCTCGCCTGCATCCTGGTGGGAGCCCCCAAGCTGATGGTGCCCGACGCACGCGCAAATAGCACCGCTCGGCCCCGCAGCAGCGCAACCGCGGCGGTCGGCCTCGAGGAACGACGAGGCCTGGCCCCTCCTTGGTCGCCGCTGCGGCGTCCAAAGCAGCTTCCTCGCCCCTGCCTGCAGGTCGGTGAGACCGCAGCAGGGCCTTTGGTGGCGCCGCACTGGCGGTTCTTCCCTCTTCCACCCCTCTGGGAGTCGCCGCGTCCAGCCCGCTTGTCACCGAGGCCCGGCCAGGGCGAGGATGACGTCGAGCCGACCTCGCCGAGGGACTCCTGAGCATCCTTGAAGTTGATCCACTCGGTCCATGCCCGCCGAGCCCGACGCGCATGTCGAGGTGGGAGGCCCGCGCGCCGCTGAGCCGCTCCTCGGCCAGGAAGAGCGATGAGGGGGGGGGCGGGGGGGGATGGCGAAGAAGAGGAATCTTCAATCGAACGCAGCGGGGCTATCGCAGCGCGCCAAACAACCCGACGAGGGGCCAGCGTCAACGGTGACGCAGGCTTGGCGCAGATCGTAGCTCCCTGGCGGGGGGAACAGGGAAGACGGGGATAACGCATGGAGAATGCAGCACGAAACCACTCAGCAGCGAAGCCACAGCAAGACATGTCCCCCCTTCGGGGGTGACGCTCGATGGCGCACTATCTCTGAGTCCTACGCTTCGAATGAGACTTGATCAAACTCGGGCCCGCCTCCTCTTGGAGGCGCCCCACCCCCTTCCCGAACCGTTCCCTTCCGACGAGACCACAAAAGGCATCCATACGGACTTTGACCCGAAATCCAGGCACGGTGGCAGAGCGTCGTGGTCGTCGTCATCGTCGTCGCCGTCGTCCTCGTCGACGCCATCCGCCGCCGCTACCAGCCGCCGCAGGCGCCGGCGCCAGCACAGAAAAGAAAATTGTCGTCTTCATCGACGCTCCCCGCCGCCGCCGCCAGCCGCCGCCGGCCCGAGGAGAGGGAAAAAGGGAAAATAGTGCAGAAAAGGAGGGAAGGGGGGGGGGGAACTCCCCCTGCCCCCTCCGTCACGGGAGAGGGAGCGGGAAGGATTCGCTCAAGCGCCCACTGAACGCGCTCTTTCCAATGTCAGAAGATCTCCTGTCGGAGCGCTCGCGCAATTCTCGTAATTCTGGAGTGCTGTATCCAACTCGGCGCTGGCGGCGGCCCACAATCAAAACCGTGGTACACGCAATCCCCATTCAGGGCTCCCGCCTCCTGAAACATCGCTCGCTTGCGCATGCGCTTTGCACTCGACGAAGCATGGTGAGGTCCCGCCCTCATCCGCCAGACAAGCCCCCTCGCAGCTCGCAAAATGTTTAGCAGCTCGCTTCCACAACCGACGAGAGACGGGCGACGCACTGGTACAGGGCATCACGAGTGTCGGTTCACGAATGTCGGTTACATCTTGGAGCTGGTCGGGGCCGAACCTCCATTCGCACCCGTCGGGGTCCTCCCAGCAGTCGGGTTCAAAACCCCAGCCCGCCCCAGGGCCCTGAGGGTGAGCAAGAGAGCTTCCATGGGCCCCGTCACCGCTCCCCACCGGGTTCTCTCCTCAGGCACGCTAATTACCACAAGCTTGGTGGCCGTCCAACCCCTCCTGACCTGCTGCCGGAGCGTGGGGTAGCTGGCCGAACAAATGCGCCACGACTTGGCTTGGCGCTTCGCGCGCGCAGCCCGGGGGCCCCCTCGTTCATACATCGGCAACACCACCGTCTACGTACAATTGCCTTTCTTTCAAAAGCCTGCAAGGTCCGCCGCCAGAACTCTCCTCTTTCGGATCCCGGAGGGCGGGAGGTTCCCACAAAAAAGGACTGTCATATGATATCGAAACACGCATCTGAGAGTTATAGGATCATATAATTTGCCTACGTTTGGCCTGGCTACGGCTAGCAAGCAGGCCGGCCATAGTGGCTCTTGTTTTCAGAAGACTCGCGCTGATCCTGGCTGTTTCCCTGGTGCGCGCCCGAGGTTCTTCATCACCGCTCCTGATTTGATGGTGATTCCTATGTTCTGGAGGACCTGTTCGACTTGGATGGCCCCCCTCGGGCTCAGGGCCATGCTGGTGGACATTGTCGAGCCTCAGCCGTGCCTCCAGACACCCTTCAACGAACGTTTTTGCCGCCGTCGCCGTCTCTGGTCCTACCACCACTTCTGGCCTTTCGACTAGCATGGTACCCACAGACTTACATAGACGAACGACCGGCAAATCTTGATGCACCTTGCCCATGGTTGGTCTTGCCACACCTTGATACTATACCGGTATCGGGTAAGATGAAGTCACACTGTATATCCGATGTGTTTGAACCCATCCCGGACACAGATACGACACGATAAACGTGTACATTTCCACTGGGGGACACCGGCAACCCACCAAACCATATAATTTCCCCAAGTCCTGGAAAAAACAACGTTCTGCTATGTTGGGCCGGTACTCATACTGGAAGAACGTCACGAGCGCTGACTGCACTGCCGACGACCTCCTCGCAACCACATCCCCAAATCCTGCATTCCTATCGCACCATTATGTGAGTGTGCTTGGTCATCGCCCCACCCCAACACCCCCATCGGCATCGGCATCAATCCAATCAGTCATTCCTCTCCAGCGGATTTCTTGTCAGCTTCTGGGGGGGAAACATACCACATCTGCATCAACTGATGTGGCCGTGTTCTTGCACAACGGGCTCTGGGCTTTGAACCAAGCCCGCACTGGTCGGCCACAAGTCCAGTGCTCGCCTGGAAATTGGTGAGGGCCGACAGGAAGCTCTCCATAGTATGAAATTGTCGCTCACGTGGTACTTCAGCCACATGTCCACGTAGCGTTGCCATGGCGTGCACAAGCTCATCAGCAGAATGCCTATAAGCCTTCCGACGTCTCTCCCATTCTCGCCGTCGTGTCTTCACTCCTCGCTGTGGGTCCATCTCCCGCCGAACTGTAAGCTACAGATGTGCTCCCTCTATCGAGGCATTCGACGGTTTCTTTGTCCACGTGCGAACATGAGCTCTGGCTCCTGCCGAGCAAGTTGGGCATGGCGTGTGGTTCGGTGGAACACTGCTGCTGTGACCTGTCCTATCGCCCCTGGTGTCGTCGCAGCCCTTCTCGTCGTCGACCTCTAGGGCTCCTCCTCTGGCGCTTCCTCCTCGACTTGGGCGAACGGGTCCTCCTCTGACGCTTCCTCCTCGACCTGGGCGAACGGGTCCGCCCTATCCTCCAAAGAAAGACGGGGAGGGGAGAGGGGCGGGAGGAGCGCTGCGGGAGAATTGCGGGCCAGGACGGATCACGACGCCCTACGGTTTCGTGCCGTGGGAGCGGGGTCGCTTCGGGCCGTCCCCGAGCCACACCCCACTCCTCGCACGCCTTGGCAGCCCGGCTGCGACTGCCTGCGTTCTGTTCTCGCACGAGTTGATTCCAGCACTGTAGCTAAAACTGGCTCGCTCGAGACTAAACTTGGGCTCCAGCTTCGCCCCCCGCTTATCGTACGAGGCTTGTCCAGAGGCAGGGGCGGGAGAGGGGGGAGGAGGAGATGCAGAAGGAGAAGGGGGATGATGAGTAGAGAGAAAGAGAGATAGAGAGAGAGAGAGAGAAAGAGAGAGAGAGAGAGACATGACTACGTTAGAGTCTACTGATGGCCACAAAGCGGATGTGAACTTCCAAATCTGGCAGCGCAGCCCAGCTGAGAGTACGGGTTTTGCCATGACGGTGAGTGGACATCAGGGAAAACAATCCTGCACGATTAAAACGGGGTTTCTCCTGGGACCAGTTTTTCATCCCGATCCTGTCTCTGACGGATCCATGGCCAGGGAGGGGCTCCAGGGCGCCGACAAAACACTGAAAACCGCATGATCCATGCCCATCGGACTGGAAACGCGGGTCCTGGTGGAATCGGGCTCTGGACTCCGACCGAGGCTTTCCCCGGAACCAACTTTTAATCCCGAATCAATGCATGCCGGCGCTGTGTACCAGGGAGGGCGCGGGAAGCCCGAATACGGCGAAAAACCTTGACGACCTAACTTCTCAAGACCCATTTCCTCCCAGACCCACGATGTTTTGATTTTCTCATCACGCGACCTTCGGAGATCTTGACGCCTTCCCGTCGACAACCTTGCGTCACAAATCGCTCTTCTGCAGTCCCGGAGCCCTGAAGGGACCTGTGGACCCAGAGATCGAAGGAAAACAAGTCGCACTGAAAAAGACACGACGTCGGAGTCTGGGCTTCACGCTCGCGCCTCCAATTTCAGATGATCACATTGGGACTCCCGAAATGGGTACGGAAAAAATGGGTACAATGCCCAACAATAAATGTTGCCCCAAACCAACAGCGACCGCTGTTGGGCAGGCGGCCGTCTGTCTCGAAGGGACACAAGCCGCGGCGGCGTGGACAGCGAGTCCTGCTCAAAATGATCAGGGACTGCTGCTGGGCATTGTACCAACTCTTCCCGTACCCATTTCTCGGGCCGGGCGAAAGGGGGGGATAGCAAAGGGGGAGTTCGAGAATCAGCTTTCGTAGCTGATTTTCCCAGCGCCTCCCGGCGCCGGAGGTGGCCATGAATCGAGGACTGGGCCCCTCGGTGGGGCCGAAGCCAGCTGCATGCAGCAGATTTCGTACCCCCCCCTTTCCCTATCCCCCCCTTTCGCCCGGCCCGATCCTCCTTCTCAGCTGCCCTCGCTATTCCGCCCCGAATTTCGTTCGTGCCCATTACGGTCACCAGACCACCTCGCCGATACTGGCCGGGTTCGTTCTGGGCCTGGGCTCGGTGCGTACGCCTCCCTGGCCAATCCAGGAGGGCGTCCACACCGCTCTTCGGATGAATTTCCGGACGCCTGCGCGGAGCGCGCTTGGGCGGCCAGTCGCTGAGGCACACCCAGGCGGTTCCAGCGCCGACAAACGAAATCCGCGCGGACCTCCGTACGTTCCTGTTTATGGAGATGCGTATTCGAATCTGCGCCACCCTGATGGGTACCCAGTGCACGGGGACTTCGGTCGTTGCAAGCAAGGGGCGCGTTCGGGCCACTCCCCTGCACCGCCCTGCACGAAAGCAGCGCTTTCCTGCCACCCCCCTGCACGCTGCCGACGGACCCGTCGTTAGGAATCCGTCACAATGGCGCCGAGCCGAACGGAGCTGGCTGGAAACGAAAGCCCGCAGCCCGCGGCAGCTCCACTGCTGGAAGAGGCCGCCGGTCACAGCGTCAACCTGCAGGGTGCAGCCATCCTTGCGCCGTGCGCTGGGCGCCGAAGGGGGCAGAGCAAGCAAGCGAACGATGGAGGCTGCCGTCGCCACGGACGAGGAAACCGAGCGAACGGGCGAGCAAGGGAAGCGAACGAGCGGGCAAGGGAAGCGAACGAGCGAGCAAGGGAAGCTGGAAGCTGCCGCCGCCAATGCGCGTAAGTGGACGAGCGCAAGAGCAGCAACTAATCGCAAATGGCCTCAATCCGCCGCAGGAGTTGACGATCCATTGTGCAGAGGAAACCATGCACTTTTTGGACGCTTGCGAGTAAACACTCTGAGAATAAGAAAACGTGGTCGGTGACTCTCCACGTCCGTGGCGGCGCCTCTGGCGCCGCCCCTGCGAGCCGGGGACGGGGCGCGGAGAGGGTGGAGGTCGGTCCAGCGCCGACCGAAAAAATCTTCGCGGAATCCCTGAAAACCGAAATCGAAGGAACACGTCGGAAGTCTGGGTCCGTATCTCTCCGAGCCCCCTACCGGAGACTTTCCAGGTGACCCTCCTGCACCCTGATGCCGCCCTCTCGGCCAACGGACTCCTGCAGGCACGAACGGCAAGCGGTGCCACGACGCCGAGGGTCATAGCACCCTGCCACCTTGACGCAACTTTTCCTCTGGTGACCCCCCAAATGGGGCCAGGGCAGATGGGGTCGGAGGGTCGCGCCCCATCGCCGATATATCGGCGACGGCACGACGGAGAAGAACGGGCGCCAGATCGCAACCCTCAGTTCGCGCTTCCCGCTGCGAGAAGCGCGGATAACTTCGCGCTCCCGGGCCGCGCCCCAGGGAGAAGAGAAGGATGAGGTGGGGTCGGAACCGAGCCGCGATGCCCGAAGCGAGAATAACTCCGCGCCGTCGATGCCGCCCTTGACCACCATATAATGTCGCGGCTGAGGCATGTTCCATGGCGGAAGATGCAGAAAAGCTAACTCTGACCGAATTGGCCTCCACCTTGTCTTCCTCCTGCGCCGGGGCTACATTGCTGTCGCAACTGGCTACAAATTGCGGCGTCGAGAACCGCGACGGGCTGTCACGAATCAGAGGGGGCCCTGGAAGACAGGCGGGACTGTGGGAGGGTACTCTTGATTATCAGAAGATCACGCTCGTCACCTTAGTGACCCCGGGGAGTCACGCACTATGCCAAAATAGCTGCAAGCCACAGTCGAACACGAAGAGGGGGGAACGGGGGGGAGAGGTCACCCGCGAGGGGGGCAAACGATGACAGCGGGCCCAACTTTATCGGGTTCGACCCCGCACGCGACAGGGTCAGTCTCATCGGGTGGGGCCTGGCCCCCAGCGGCGTCGGGCGCCGCGCGCTGGCTCGGGTTGCGTCCGGGCTGCCGGCCCCCTTCGGGCGACGTCCTCGGGCCTTCCTGTCTTTTCTGTCCTCTGCTCCTCCTCCTCCTCTCCTCCCTCTTCCTTCTTCTCGTTCGTGAGGTGGCCCCTCGTGGCCTCGTCGGTGCGTTCATAAGCCGTGGCCTCCATCTCCTCCTCCCTCCCCTCTCCTCCTCCGTGAGACTTCTGATCCTTCTTCCTAGTCGAGTCCTCCTCCTCATCTCTTCTCCGGGCCTCGTCTAGTAGCGCCTTGCGACTGGCTCCTCTGGGCCCAGATTTTAGTGCCAGATTGAGGTACCGTTCATCTAGGTGCCCCCCTTCATCTACCATGCACGGGCCCCCCCGGCGCAGCAAATCGCGCAGCGCTAAGTCGGACTTAGACGGGCCAAGGCGCGCCATGGTGTCGGCCGGCATCTTGCCGCGGGGGGGCCAACGGACCTGCGGCCCCATGGCGGACACAGAGTCGCGGATGACCGAGAGCTCGATCGAGTTTCGCCGGCCCGAGCGAGAGCCCGCAGCATGTCTCGAAAGGGCGCCGAAACATACTCGACGCCCACTACCGCAAGCGAGGCAGCCTGCTCATGAGGCTTGCAACTCGAAGACACCACCACCGAGAATGGAAAGGCACAAGCGTTCCAGGGAAGGGGGCCCGCATCCCCGAAAACCGCGTCGCGCCCAAACCAGGGGCAACTGGGCCTCCGCGACGGCCCCGCTGAGGGCCAGGGTCTCGGCGGCCACCGTCGGGCTGACCCGTTTCAGTCGCTGGGGCCTCCAGGACAACGCCGACGCCTTCGCCTGCCGGTTGGGTCGAATCACAGCGCCCGCCCCCGTCGCGATCTAGACCCCCCGGGGCCCTCGGGGACCTGGGGCCGGAAGCGTCAGACGCCGCAACAGAAACCAGGGAGTTGGGGTCGACGGCCCAAATAGTCATGCGCTGGCACGCAGTGGCATTATGGTACAGCCTTCATGAGCGCCATTGCGTGACTGACGGTTGGGGTCGGCATGGCGCCGGCCAGAGCGGGGCCTCCGCCCGCCGCGCCCGGTCTTGACTCGCGCGCGACCCATTGCACCAGAGCGACAGAAGCACGATAGAATCTGACCTCCGAGGGATGGGGGACTGAGTCCGGGTCGGCACGACGGGATCTGTCCAAGGGCATCGGCAAAAGCTGTTATCGGATATATTCCTCCTGGTCAACGACAATGCGATCCTTGTATTGACAGGTGCGACGGCCGGCGAAATCGGCTTCTCCTATCCTCCATCTTCCGAACTTGAACCGAACGGTTGCCCTTTTTAAAAAACGTTCTTGAAACTCGGACCGTCCGGTGATGATCAGATCACCCACCTCAATCAGGACCGGGCCCACAAGGGCCCCCATGGGGTCGCGCCGGAGCCACGAGCGCGGCCCCACAAGAGATTTGACAAAACCCTCGGCCCTGAGCCGGTCTGTCAAAGTCCGATGCCAGAGAAGTGGGCATCGTTTAGCCTGCGCACCGGCGCAATGAGCTCGATGAGCTGGTCCGGGCCCGCAGGGAGGCCCGGGCGCGACTGAACGTTGATTGCTCCGCGTGGTCGCTCCAGCTTCTGACTCTGGCAGAATGCGTTCCTGGCACCAGCTATGGCGACAGACCAGCCGAACGAGACCGCGACCTGGAGACATGTGAGAACACTCTCGGACTGTGGGGTCGGGGCATGAACTTCTAGGGGTTCGCTGTGAGGGTCTTGATGACCGTGCGCGCACAATCTGGATTTCGGTCCTGGAAGGGACCCGACTCCCTCGACTGGCTAACCATCCTTGACGAGAGGGTCCTCCTCAGGCGCGAAGACGCGCACCGCGCCCGTGGCCAGCGTCGCCTCCTGTTCCTTAGCATCTGAGATCACAAATCGGGCCCGATCCTCGGGGCTCAGGCCCTGGATTCGAACCTCGGCTCCCCGGGGCTTCTGAGGAAGTTGCCGGCTGCGGCTTGAACTCGCAAAGGCCGCCTTGGTCTGATCCAGACCGACGAGGTCAGCAAGGACAGTCAGCAGCTCGGGAGCTCCTCCTCCTCGGATCCATTCCTGAAGCTCTCGGATCAAGGCTCACCTCTCCCAGTGTCTAGGATCGTCGCAGGAGCGTTGTTTCTGAATCTTTCTTTTCGCTGGGGTCGGGGCTTCAGTTGACGCTGGGGGCAGTTTGCGCGGCTCGCAACATTGCAGCGCCATTCAGCGCGCGCGGGGGCGCGCGCGGGCACCCAGAAGCGTGCAGCTACTGGGAGAGACGCCCGCAAGCGGCCATGCGAGACCACGGGCGCTCACAGGCACGCGGAAGCACTGGCAAGCACTCCCGCGTGTTTACATCTTCCCAAAAAGGTTGGCGAGACCTCCCACGCGTGCCCACGAGCACCCGCAACTCATCACGAAGCGCCCGCGGGCGGTCGCAGTCGCGGGCACGCGCCCAAAGGCGGCCACACAAGCGCAGAAGCGCCCGCCGAAACCTTCCCCGCATGCACTGCTCCGCAGGCAATCGGAGGCCTCCGCCGAGCGTCGCGACCAGGGGGCCACGTAGTGAGTCGGGCGAATGTTTCTCAGCCTTGCCGGTCGCCCTCGGCATCCCTGCGCGCGCTGGCAATGGGCGTTTTGTTTACAGACAGCTTCCGGAGGCCCATCGACCCCCAACGCATATTGAACTGCTGATGAGGGGGCCTGAGCGTGTTCCAACATTTACAAGAACGTTAGGTCTCAGAGGGGGGCATGGCCACATATGGCCAAACATATATGTTTGGGCCTGTGAAAAAAAAAAACATATATTATGCATGGGCAAGTAAACAAGTACATGACGCATACGCCGGTATAAAGAAATATACATGTATGGGCGGGCGTACATAACGATATGCACGGACCAGTGTAGCACGACAAATGTGTACAGGTGTATCCAGAATGTGGCGACATTTTCCCAGCCGTCCATGTACGCAGAGGGCCTCACTCGGGCATTGCCTTTTGGATGAGCACTGCCTCGCGGGATTCTCGTGTGGCTTTGGTAAGCTCTCACGGGTCTCATGGGGTTCGCTCGTCGGGCTCTCACGTGTCTCGCGGGGTTCGCTCGTCGGGCTCGTCGGGCTCTCACGGCCTCGGAGGGTTACAATAAGACCCCCAAAGGGCCTCAAGAGGGTTCCAGATGGCCCCAAGAAGGGCAAATCAGGACCCCAACAGGGCCATATGAGGGCCCCAAGAGGTCCCCAGAGATGTGTCACGGCCGTGAAACATCCCCGGGGCCCTCTCGGGGCCCTCTTGGCCCCCCCTGGGAGTCTCCTTGGGCCCCTCAAAGACGGCGGCAGAGGCCTCAGGATGAACCAAGAGAGGCTCCAAGAGGGCCTCAAGAGGCCCCCAGGAAGGCCCACGGGATTATGTACCACAAGGGGGTCGGTTGGTAGATATTCCTGGGCACTTCTTGGAAACATATGCGGTGCTCTTGGGGGCCATCTGGGGGCCCCAGGGAGCCCTGTGGGGCCCCTTTTCCGGCCCTCCGAGGCCGTCTTCCCTCCTGCCTCCTCCTCCTACGTTATCCTGCTTCCTCCTGCAGCACCCATCCTCTGCATCCTCCTCCTGCCTCCTCCTCCCCCCCCTCCTCCTCCTCCTCCTCCTCCTCCTCCTCCTCGCCCTCCTTCATCCTCTCTTG